GCAATTGTCTTCTGACAAGCAAAGTTCAGTGGGAAAAATCAGTCATTTTAATGACACTTAGCACATGATTTGCAAAATGACCGTGAAATTGGTGTAATGACTCACTTAACAACCTCATCGCTTAGTGACCTAAATTCCAGGTAAATTTTGGATGAGTCTTAAGATTCTTCTTGTAACTTTGAACTGCAGTTTTTATTCTTGCATGATCTTACATTTATAGGAATTATCAGGATGACATGAGAGTTAGGGAGAAAGAATTAAAGTGGTAGCTAACATCAGACAAAATATATGAAGCATGAGAAGCTTAGAAATTCACCCAGTAGTAGAAATGCTTCAACTGTTGTGAATATTATATGTAGCAGTGGCCTATATGTGCAGTACTGTATGCTTACATTCACCTATATATTGCTCATTTTCCTGATAGATATACATAATGAATGAAAGTACTCCTAGTAGTTATCCCTTTCATTTTCATGTACTTCTATAATAGTTATGTAGATCTATAAACCATCAAGCTATGACAAACTAATTTAGCAAATACAGCACTTAAGGCAAATGGAGACAGTGTTTCCACTGAAAAATTATTGATTATGATGTAAATAGAACAGCAACAGTGACATCTTCATCATTTATTACAATATTGGCATTTCCAGTTTGCTCTAGAAATATATAATTTAATTATACTTCAAATATTAATGTTTATACTGTGGAAGATAGATGGTGATATTGCTGACAATGTTTCTAGTACTATAGTACAATTTCCCTCTTTTTCTTTGGATACTGCATTTTTGTACAGATATACAAGTGTCTGGTTGTTGGTAAGACTCATGGGTAGAATCTATACATTGCCTGAAATGGAGACATGGCAATAAAGGGGTGTGCAGCATTGTTGTTAGCAATTTCAAGAGGAGGTATGAGATGCGTTCAGTTGAGTTACTGGTAAGAAATATAGCATCTTAAATACTGCTCCAGTATCTGGTTAACCTTCTCAGTTTCTCAGTTTGAAGTGAGATGATAGCCAGACAACATATGAATGTTAATATTTAATAATTGCAAGAAGGCCTTCCAAAATTTGGAAGTAAAATGACCTGCTTTATTTATTAGGAAATGATTGACAAATCCCCTATATTTAAAGACATTGAGCTGTTTCTTGGGCTTTTGGAGGACTCGTGCAGGGAATGAAATGGGCCAATTGGGCAAATAAATCCAGTATTACCAGTATGATAGTGTATCACTGCACTGAAGGAAGATCGGTAATGAAATCTAAATAAACTATGTCCCAGGATATGGCGGGTGTTTAATGGCTCCAATCCAGTTGGCTTGTTGGACAAGGCAAGAGAATACATAATCCCTAATTCCTCCTTGGATGCAGGGCCACCAAAATTCTCTGAGTGCTCTTTGTTGGGTTCTGAATATCTCCCTGTGTCCGGCTGTCTTGTTGTCGTGGCACAGCTGTAGTACTTCCTCCCTCAGGGGAAGAGGCACATATAAACATTCATTGTGCAATAGCTGCCCTCCCGCCATTGTGAAAGGCGAAAGAGTATTTTGTTGGTCTTTCTTAAGTTCATCCTTCCAGGCCCTGGTGTATGGATCCTGCTGCTGCTTTGCTTTAATCCAATCAGAGACGAACAACTTGCCTTCTTCCAGCCTTTTGTGTTGATCTACCTTGTGGATGGAACTCAAAGTTATTTGGTTGCAGCTGGGGGTGGTGATGACTGAGGAACCTGATACTTCAGCTTGTATGTGAGGGTGTCTGGAAGGTTCTTCTGAGAGCCTGGGATATATGAGACGTAAAAGCCAAACTGAGAGAAAAATTGTGTCCACCTGATCTGTTGGAGCGCGAAAGTTTTGGTGTTTTGCAGCACCTTTAAATTTTTAGAAGTAAATGGACAAGTGGGCTGCTCCTTCCCAGCAGGTGTCTCCATTGTTCAAAGGGATTTTTTATTTTTTTTTACTGCCAGCAGCTCTTTATTGAAAATGTAATAATTCCTTTCTGTTGGGTTGATTGCTCTCAAGTAAAATGCACATGGAAATAAATCCTCCCCCCCTCCTTCTCTGCTTGGAGTAGAACTGCGCCCGTTTCCAAGATGTAGCTGGTCTAATAGGTCTGACATAAGCAGGAGTAGGTAAAGGTTTCTAATTGTTACTTCAGTTTTTTGTAGTGATGCATTTGGGGTCCTTCCTTTCCCTTCAGACTGGCTGCTCTTCTTTTGGGGAAGACAAAAAATGTGAGCTCCAATGCTGGTGAATTGGAAGGGTGGCTGAATTCCATTTTGAGGTGGGCATCCAGATAATTAACTCCAGAGCAGGCACAGGGTACTGTTTCTTCGCTGGGGTTTGGACTCCAGGCTTCAAATGGATAGTACAGTCACCTGGGGAGTAATGGGGATGGGGGAGGGTTAATGGGGATGGGGTAAGAAAGCTCCTGCTTTCTCCCCAAACACATCTACGAGGTCTGCATTCTTTTCTGGCAGCACTGACCTGATTCCTTCCTTGTCCTGCGAGTGTTTGTGTGGAGGCAGGTCAGTTTTCACTGCTAATAAACAATGTTGTTGGTATTTAAGTCTGGGAAATGGGGCAAAAATCACTTATCAACTGTCTCAACTTAGCAGTACAAATTTTGGACTCAATTGTAGTTGTAAGTCGAGGATCATCTGTACTACATTGATAGAGCTCTTCCATGGTATTTGAGGTGCCTTTCCTCACAGATCATCTCTTAAGTCATCAGCTAGGCTTTTCGTGAACTGGTCAATTAGAGCAATTAGGTCATTCTATCCTACTGAAAGATATTCCCTTAATCTCCTATGTCCCTTCTTGAGCTTCCAAAATCTTGACTAGGTACGATTCCAAAATCTTGACTAGCTGTGGGATCTCCAAAGCATCCTTTTGAGTTTATGCATTAAATTGTCCAGCACTGGATCATTCCCCTTCGTGAACAATATTGCCCACTTAACTGTTGATACTTTCAGCAGGCTCAGCACAAAAGTCACTCATCCAGTCTGCTGACCATAAATATTTCATTCTAAGAGGTGAATGTCTGGAATTGATCTTGGTCCTCCTGCCCAAATATCTCTGGCGAGCTGTCATGGAAATACAGAAGCATTGGTTGAGCTGCTGTCTGTTGCACTGCTGAGGATTGAGACACATTTTGCCCCAGTCGCTGTGTTTGTTGTGTTGTGGCATTCTGCAAGTTGTCATCTGGGCATCTATTTGCTGTTGGTATTGTAACAACACAGCTGCCAGATGCCCAATGCTTAACAGGATTCCTTGAGGATCAGAGGCCATTCTAGAAATTCTTCTCTTTGGAAGAGAGTAAGGAACAGATACGACTGATATCAGCCCTCCCAGGTAAACCAGACAAAAATATGATTAGATAAACTAAATCTACTTTATTGTAAGGCTACTCTAACAGAATCTTGCAAGTCTGAAAGTATAACATTTCCCATTGCCACCTTTATCTCCTTGATCCATTAGGGTCCTTCTTAAATTTCTTTTCTCTGACTGTTAAACCACTGGGGGGCCTCTCTTGTCTGACTGTTTCCTTGGCAGCACCTCTTCCCCTCTTTCCCCAATATAATTTCCACATTCCATTATTTAAAAAAATCATCTTTTCTAGAACACCTCACAATTGTTCTTGTGGGAAAAATAGGAGGAGAAGGAGGGGGAGGAAGGAGTTCTAGGTATGTTCGCTGCCTTCAGTTATTTATAAACAATAATAAAGATGGGAAGAAAAACAAATATATAGTACTTAATCTGATGCAATGTAATAACTAAGAAACTAATTGCACAACGTCAACTCAAAAACAAATCTTGAGTACAATTTTGTTTATTTCTAGGTATGTTTCTTTACAATAGCTGCCTCAGATTTTGAGAAGTACCTGTTTCATTTCACTTGTGTTTGGATTGCACAATGGAGAACCACTTTTTTTACATGGTTTGCTAAACAAGCCATAGTGAACTGATCTGTATATACTGTTTAAACTATAGTAGTGAGTTGACATATTGTGTAAGCCCAGAACAAATCACTTGGCTTAGTATAATATGTACACAAAGCCACCAACTCATTCAGGATCCATATAGGAACCTCTGTGAGGTCTATTAGTAGCACTCACTGTTTGGGGTTGTGGAGCGAGTTTAATAAAGAAAAATATTAAATGTCTTTTAATGGTAAAAATGGTAAATCCCCAATAGATGTATAGGAATGAATGTGCTATGAACAACATCCCCGATTCTATGTGATATATTATGCAATCACATTTGTGATATAATGCGAAAATTATATTGTCAAACTGGAAATCAAGCAGCAGATAGCTTTTAACATCATCAAGTGCTTGGAATGCCCATAAGAAAAGACATGTTGCCTTTGTTTGTTTTTGTTGGGTGTTTTTTAAAGCCATTTTATAAAATAGGACTGCAGCTCCTTTGAAATAGAAGCCCTGCAACATGCAGGGACATGTTTGAAGCTACCCTCTTTGAACAAATGAAACAGTCGTGTCTTTTTCCACGCCAGTGCAGCTATTTTTGTAAGCTGCTCCCAGCTGACTCTCCATGCACCTGCATCCGAAGCAAAGTGGCTGTGCGTGCACATTCATGCAAATACAGCTAGAAAGAGTGTTTGACATCACCACGAAGCCTGGAAAAACATATAGGTCTTTTATTGATTCAAAGAGAGCTGCTTTGTACACAGTTTCTTTAGAAGGATTTGTACTGCCCTGTTGTAAATTAGCAGTAACCAAGGATATGCGACTTCTAGATGTTTTAGACCACTGTTTCCGTAACTCTTTGTGTGGGACTGGCTGGTTGGACTTGATTAGATTTAACATCCAAAATATTTGGAAAATATCAGCTTGTCTACTTTTGAGGCAAGCAGAAAAGATGTAGAAAAGATTCTGAGTTATTTTATTCATGAGTTTATTAGTTTAGTTTAGAAAATTATGTACTGTGATTAAAATAGTAAATGATTACAGCAATAATGTGGATTTAATATTTTCTGCCTTTAGGTGTGTGACCTTAATTCTCTGTCAGAATGGTCGTCCTTGAAAATTCTGGGAGCTGAAGTCCACTCATCTAGCGTGTCCTCAGATAAGGGTACAATTTCATTATACTATTTAATACATGTAAACATTAAGCTTGTATTACTGCTATAATTAATGGAAATTGTCATAATTGTACTGTATGCTGCGCTGTTGATCCACAGGGTACTGTGGCTTCAAATTATTTTCAAATACAGGTAGTTATTATACTTATTTAATGACTCTCATTGGGACCTAGATTTCTACTATGAAGCGAAACAGTCTTTAGGCAAAGCATCACATGAGCACACTACTTAGTGAAGTCAGTTCTGCTATTTCTGGTTGCAGTCATTAGTTACTCCATTGTTAGGCAAAGACCTCATGATTCTGTCCTGGACACACTCATGCCCGCTTCAACTTCACTTATTATCCTTCCGCCTACAATTTCTCATTTCCACTATCTATCTTTGCTGCCCCCTGCCATCCTAGTTGATCTTCACCATCTTCCACTGTTGAGGAAGAAGGCCTGGCCGAGGCATCTGCTGGCTCTTTGTGAGGCCTTTGCCGTATCCATCTATCCTTCCCCCCACATTCCACAACCTGCCTTTGTTGCCCCCAGTTAAACATCTACACACACACACACACACACACACACACCAACTCCCCACTGCTGGCAAAGTGCACCTGGCCAAGGCAGCTGCTGGCTTTGAGTGAAGTTCATCTGGGAAAGCAGGGGTACATGGCAGAGTGCAGGGCATCCAAACAGGTAGAGATGGGAAGGTGGCAGTTAGTTGGGAAATTGAACCACATGCTGTGGTCATAAAAGCAAGTGGTCTGCCAAGCACCCAAATTTTGATCACTTGACCATGGAGCTGCTGCTGCTGAAACAGCTGTAATTTTGAAGGCTGGTTGTAAGTACTGTGAGAAGTTTCATATCATATATATTTTATTCGTTATATTATTTCCATCTTCCCCCTAAAATATTAACAGAATTCACAACAGTCTGAGAATTAGTGTGTCTCCACTAGATAATTGACAGTCCAGCTGAAACTAAGTTAATCAACTAAAATTAGCAAACTTTCTTAAATAATTAACCCAGACCTAATCCACATATCAATGGGAAAGGTTACATAGAGTTAATTAAATTAGGTCTCCTAGAGCAGTGGTTGCCAACCAGTGGGCCGGGGACCACTGGTGGTCCGTGAGAAAATTTTGGAGGTCCGCAGAGAAATGTCCCCACCAAAAGCACTCCCCCCAAAGCAATTAATCCAGACTGCGTGGGAACACAAGGCTGTGCCACCCACATGGCCTGCCCACCTGCTGGCCGAACACAAACCTTACCTTGAGTAGAGCCACGCAAGCTGTAACTGGAAGGTAAGACCAACAGGAGGGAAATCTGCCCCGGGCTGGCTTGCTGACGTTGGTGGGAAAGTCAGTCCCATATTCCAGAGCTGCAAGACTGGCCCTTTGATCATCCCAGAGCAGCTCCTCTAGTCCATGGCAGGCCGGTGCACCCGGGCGGAGGAGCAGCTGCTCCAGGATGACCAAAGGGCCAGTCCTGTGACTACTGCAGCTCTGGAATATGGACTGACTTTCCCGCCAGTGTCAGCAAGCCACCGTCAGTCAAAATTCATATTAGTGGTCCACGGGATTTAAAATTATGAGTTTGGTGGTCCCTGAGGTCCAAAAGGTTGGCAACCCCTGTCCTAGAGCAGCGCCCCCCAACCTTTTGGATATCAAGGACTGGTTCCTTAGAGAGGGAGACTTTTCTGAGGAACGGAGGGGGCATGGTTTTGTGTGCTGCCTGCATCCTGTGGATTGTTTGTATGGCCCAATTTCTAGCATATCACGGCCTGGTGCCAGTCCATGGACCGGGGGTTGGGGACCCCTGGCCCAGAAGAAGTGTATAAATATACTTACACATACACACGCACACACATGCCCCTCAAGTGTCACCCTAAAATCAGCAGATAACACCCCGGACAAATTCCCCTTATAAAAATCTGCTGCTGTATCCCTTTTCTGTGCAGCCTGCCCCTAAATGCAAACTGTTTTGCTTTTAGAAATAAATATGTATTCTTTCCTCACAGCTGTCTGGATCTCATTTTTATTTATTCTTGCACAGCTCCTGCTCAAGTTGGAACCCCAAATTATTCTTCTGACAGTACTATTTGCTCAATGCTGTTGTAACTTTGAATAGTCATTGAATGAATGTTGGTTAAGTGAGGACTACCTGTAAGGAATTAGTGGTTATTTTTGAACAGAGGCGGTTGGAATCATTCTGCCAGAGCAAGAGGAATCTTTGTGCTTTCAACAGTCATTTTGTAGCTTACTATAAAGGGCTTATTTCAGTTTTGTATACCTTAAAATGTGTTTTACAACTGTTACCAGTTATAGATATGAATGATTCTTGAAAACAAGGCAGAAGAATCAACCATTATGCTTTTCACTGCCGCAGTAGAAAAAGAGGATATAGTGGAATACTGCAGAATCAGTGATATACTGTATAGGGATATAGTGGAATACTGCAGAATCTGTACATCAGTGACATACAGTAAGCAAGGACACTGTTGCTTTAAAATCTATTTAATCTCAAAGCCAGAATTTAGTTAGAATTTAAATATACACAATACGAATCTTTATCAGCATAGATCTGTTGAATGACTTCCTGATTTTCTTTTCTAACTTATTTTGTTCAAACTCCTAGCTATTTTTGGCAACCTCTAAAACTGTCTTCATCCTACATTGTAAATCCTAATAGTACTTCATTTTGTAGTGTAAATCTTTCATAGATCATTGTGTTCCTGCTGAAGAGCCAGAGAGCTGCTTCCTCTCTTGACATAATAACATTTTGTTTCTTATTTTGAAAGTTCTTTTCTGAGCACTTAGATTTTGTTTCATTCTTGAGCCCTGTTTGAATCTCTCTCAGATTCTTTGCTACCCATAATCCCCAATAGCAATACAGTCTGTCCTCCACCTATGACCTCAATTGAGCCCAAAATTTCTGTTGCAAAGCAAGACATTTGTTAAGTGAATTTTGCCTTATTTTATGACCTTTCTTACTGCAGTTAAGTTAATCACTGTAGTTGTTAACTTAATAACATGGTTGTTAAGTGAATCTGGCTTCCCCATTGACTTTGATTGTCAGAAGGTCACAAAAAGTGATCCCATGACCCAGAGGTGGTATTCAGCATGTTCTGACCAGTTCTGGAGGACAGAAATTTTGAGTAGTTCGGAGAACTGGTAAATACCACCTCTGACTTGGACATTTTACAGTATCCTTCCCCTGCCAGGCCCACCAAGCCGCGCCCACAGAACCGGTAGTAAAAACAATTGCATCCCACCACTGCCATGACTCCAGGATACTGCAACCATCATAAATACGAATCAGTTGCCAAGCATCCAAATTTTAATCACATGACCATGGGGATGCTGTAATGGTTGTAAGTATGAAAAATGGTCATAAGTCACTTTTTTCAGTACCATTGCAACTTCGAATGGTAACTAAATGGTGTAAATCAAGAATTACCTGTATTGGATTAGTGTTGTCTTAATTTCTGAGGACATTCATTTTTCTGAAATTCTATATATGTTCCTTTTGGCCTTACAGTTGTGGTTTTGGTTGCAAGAAAGAATACTTTCCAGCATTCGTGCATGTATGAAAGGAAATGAAGAAGTGAAACCTGTGGGATAGGCTGACTGTGAGAGCTAAGATTTGGCCGTTTGGGCAGGCCACGTGGCTACCCACAAGCAGAGAGGGAGCTATCTTAAGCTTAGGAATTTATTTTTTCTTCCCTTCAATTGTGTCTGATTCTTAGAGATTTCCTGAACAAATCCCTGCAAAGTTTTTCAGAAGTGGTTTGCCTCCTTCCTAGGGCTGAGGCACTGGCCCAAGATCACTCAGCTCGCTTTGTGCCCAAGTTGGGACTAGAACTCGCTCACATTCTGCTACCGTGTTTCTCCAACAATACGGCCTCCACCAATAGGAAGGCCCAGCATGTGTTTTGGGCATAAAATCAAATTAAGCCCCTCCCCCCAAATTTAGGCCTATTTTAAAATATGCAAAATAAGGGGGAAGGGCGGGAGACTTGCCGTTAGGTGCGCCCGGCGGGCCGGAATTCCTCGCCACCAGCCGCTCCTAACGGGCGATCATGGCCAAGCACAAAGAGCTCCCTACTCCCACCTTTGCTGCAGACACCTTTGGCACCCGCCGCTGTTGCTTTCCCTTCTGCCCATTACGCCGCCACGTTTGGAGATGCCGCTTCCGTGATTGGAGCGCAGTCGCCATTTGGAGCTCCAAACTCGGAAGTGGCAGCTCCAAACATGACGGCGGGCGATCTTTTTATTTTGGTCCGCGCGAAGTTCAGAGCAAGCAAGAGAGGGAGACCGCGATGCCTTGCTAAAGAGCTTTCGCCTTTCCCTCCTTGCAGCGCGCATGCGTCCCAAGCAACACTCCGCCCCGAAGAGTCGTCCTACTGCCTTCACTCTGCATCAATTACACGACTCCGCCCTCCCCTCCGTCTCACCCTCCTGCGCTTTGGGCATCTCAGTGTGATCGCGACCCTGTCCTTTCCACCTGGCGCCCTTGCTGCTTTCTGGCTCTTTAGCAACCGGCTTCATGTTTGGAGCACTGCCGCTGTTTGGAGCTCCAAACGGCGGCGGAAGCTCCAAATGCGGAACCTCCAAACATGACGGTGGGCGATCTTTTTATTTTGGTCAGCTCGCTCTGAACTTCGCGCTAAAAGGAGATAAAAGGAGAACTAATCAAATTTGTAGACCACACCTGCAGGAATAGCCAACACTCCAGAAGATAGGCTCAAGATGCAGAAGGATCTCGACAGACTTGAACATTGGGCTTCATCTAACAAAATGAAAGTACGGTTCTGCATTTAGGCAAGAAAACCAAATGGATGGGTAGAGAATAGGTGATACTTGGCTCAATAGCAGTAACTGAGAAAGAGATCTTGGAGTCCTAGTGGACAATTGCTTAAATATGAGCCAGCAGTGTGCTGCAGCTACCAAAAAAGCCAGTGTAGTCCTAAGCTGCATTAACAGACGGGTAGAATCAAGATCACA